TAAAACAAATTTGTCATAAGCAATCAACTAAAGACATTACTGAGGAACCAAGTCAAATGGATTAATTTGCCTGCACACTGACTGAGTCTATAACAGACTTTGTTTTACCTTAAGTTATTGATTGCCAGCTTTCTAGCACATTTATAAAAGCCGGTGTGGACTTTTCCCACTGGCCATTGCAGCCATGTTGTGTGGCTCTAGTTCACTAACAGTCAAAACCTTGAAGGGAAAAAGTGAGAGTGAGGACAAGGCTTCTAAGTTCTTTTGCATAGCTATTCCTAGTACATATGTAAGATAATACATAGCTCCTACACACAGAGGCGTGAGAAAGAGGACAAAAAGAAATACAAATGCACTTGACTGGAATTCTCTACAGGTTTATCTTTCATTAAGTTTGCTTAGCATATCTGAAATAACTCTTCTAATACGTCTGTTACTTGTCATTTAAATAAAGAAGCAAATCCAAATAGAACAGGGGGAAAAAAATCTCAAACTCTGCAGATTCTGAATACAAGTTTAAACAGACTGGAGGCAAGAAATGACTTAAGTATTCTCTTATTCTTGTTAATCATGCAGCACAAAAGCATAACAACTTTTACACAATTTTCCTCTTATTGTTATTGATGCAGAATCAAAGGATGACTTTTCACCTAAAATTTAATAGCAAAAGTCTTGCTTTTAGAAGTACATCTTATAAAGCACTTACAGCTAGCTTTATTTAAAAAATACAAGGGTAGCCTATTAGGCAGGTTTTTACTTATACCTCGCCATGTTCTAAAAGCACCAACAGCAATAAAGGTGTGTTTAACAGCAAGTATCAGCATTCTGTGAAAATATCAATTATACAACTCCATAACTTTGCCTCAACAATTAAGCATAGACTGAAAACAGAACTAAAGAAGCTGAAATGTGTCCACTTAAAAGAGAAAATATTTAGTCAGATTGTTCACAGTACAGGCAGTCCTCGGACTTACGACACAATTGGTTCCTGAAAACCACATCTTAAGTCGAAATGTTGCAACTCGGAACCAATTTTCTCATAAGAAACAATGTTATAAATGGGGGACTGGTTCCTGAACCAGGGCCCGATACCCTATTTTCACTAAAACTACCACAGAATTTTGTACTCGATCAATTATAGATGAGTAATATAGCTACATTAATCTATTTATTTTGTAAATAGCAATCTTATTGTTTTGGAAGGACTTCTTTGAAGTGACTTTGCTGGACTTTTTGAAGGGCTCCTGGTTGGACTTTTTGAAGGGTTCTTGGCTGGAGTCCTCTCAGAAACCTTGACTGCAGGTTCTTCCGGAGTCTTGTCCACTTTCTTAAAGAAAGTGTCCAAGGAAGTTTGGACAGATGTTCTCCAGGGAGATGAACGACACAGCGAACTTGGCATCGCATCGGATCAAGCGTAGTAAGTCGAAACTGGCATTGTAAAGTTGAAACAGGTTGTCAATTTATAAACGTTGTAAGTGCAAAATGTTGTAACTCGAAACGTTGTAAGTCGAGGATTGCCTGTACTAGTATAAGGAGTGTGTGAAAAAATACTCCTATTTCTGCAACAGACTCTTTAACACTGGCATCTGTCTTTGCTTTGTCCTCACTATTGTCATTAGCGTGCATGACCAGGGTAGATGAAACATTAGAGACATATTTACTCATTTTTGTAAGTGACCAGTAAGAAGTAGTAGGTAGGGAACACTCCATCCCAAAAATTCCCAGATACTATCATCTGGTTACTTCAGTCATACAACTAAACAAAATTGGCTGCAATGAAGTTCAGGGTGACCTGGGCACTGTTCTGAACAATACCTTCAAGCATCTAATTTTCCACAAAACTTGAAGCTAAACACATACACCAAGTAATACAAAGTCACATGAATTGCAGGATTCAGATACCATCCATAGCAAACCCAGGCCAAGGATGGCAGGAGATAAAACATCCCTCTTATATCCTCAGTACTGAAAAGCTTTATTCTGGGAACTGACAGGAAGTGGCAGGAAAGAAAATAAGCGTCCATAATAGAGACCTAACACCATGTAGTATTTCACGTATCCTCTGAAAAGTCATGTTATCCAGTTAAGTTGTACTAACAAAATTGAAATGAGGGGAGAAAAATGCTGCTTTTTATAAATCAGTAAACCAAGCCTTGCAAATCTATCCAAATAAACAAACAATTCCATACAATGCAGAACCTGGCTTTTTATCAGCTCTCTCACGTTTATTATCTTAAGTTTTAAAGAAAGTTATATAGCCTCAAAAATGCTATTAGATATACAAACAAGTTTATCCAGAGCTTCCCAGTTATGCACGAGAAAATATGAAAAGATTTAATAAAGAATAAAAATACAAAAACGATTGTAACTAATGAATCAAATATATGCTCAAAATTAGATTTTATACCCTCTACTGCTAACATTTCTCTCAGATGACAGCTATAATCACAGAGCAAATATAAAATAGTCTAGTACAGGGGCAGGCAATTATTTAGGCTTTAGGGCTGCTTAATGAGTTTTGATGAGCTGTCAAGGACTGCAAGGGTAGTCCCACCCCTTGACAGGTGCCTTGCCCCAGTCACCATCTTGAGACTGGAAATCCTGCCCCTAACCCCTGACCTTTGCCACCAGACTTCCCTCCCCTTCCCCCCTGGAAGTACTCCTTTTGAATGGGAGAGTTGCCATCTTGGAACCAGGAAAAAAAACAAATCATATGCTAAAAGTCAAACACCTACTATAACATACTTTAACTTATTACAAAAAACATTTTTGTTGTGATTTATGTCTACATAGTGTATATAGAGGTGACTGCATAACAACTCAAAAAAGCCTTACTCTTGTATATTGTGTGGGGAGTGTGTATGGTAGAATGCGGAGGGGTATGTGGTTGTGTGTGGCAGGGGGGCAAAAGGGTAGGTTGTGGGGGTGTATATATGGGGGGGGGTTTATGGGGGCTGGGAGCAGGTGTGGGGTGTTTGTTGGGTGTGAAGGAGGGGGGGTGTGGGAACCTCCCACACAATCCCCCCATGGGACATAGCCCCCACCACTGGCAGCAGCATGCAGAAGGGTGCTCAGTGTGCTTGTAGCCCACGCAGGCGCTGCTGCCCGATGACACACAGTTCTGGCCAGCACTGCACATGGTGGCAAGGAGCCACAGCCAAGCCAGCCCACCTCTATCTCACAAGTTTCCACAGCACACGTGCAACTTCTGGCCCTCGCGCAGCACCTGGGAAGCTGCCATGTGATGGAACCAGCTGCCTCTCGCGCCCCCTGCTGTGCAGGTCCTGGAACGCTGCTGGGAAGCGGGGGCATGGCTCTCCACCACTTCCAGCAGTCCCGGCACCTGCACAGCAGAGAGTAGGGAAGGCAGCCAGGTACAACGCGTTCTTCTCCCAGTGCCACACGAGCACCAGGAGCTACATGTGCACCACAGGGAGCCCTGTGTGATACAGGCGGGCTGGCCTGGCTGCACTCCCTGCCACATGCAACGCTGGCCAGAGCCGCACGCCCAGGAGGCAGCACAAACACAGGCCACGAGCACCCCGAGTGCCCGCCGCCTGTTGCTGCTGCTGCCTCCAGCAGTGGGGGCTGTGCGTGGAGGGTCCCCACACCTCCTTCACACCCACCTGAACTCCACGTTCCCACCAACCCCCTGGACACAGGATCCACACTGCTGCCAGCCCCAGCCCCATGCTCCAACCCAGCTGTAGCTCCCCCTGCCCCCACCACTTCCCTACCTGGTGCTTAGAGCAAGCAAGATGTCAGGGAAGCCAAGCAGATCCCCTGGTGGCTGCAGCAGTGGCAGCAGCTGTGTGCTGGCTGGGCCAGACCCTTCTACCCACAAGGGTGGGAGCAAAGCACATGGGCTAAGAGGGGTACAATTAGTTAGTGGATGCCTGTGGGCTGGATGAAGTTACCTGAAGGGCCATATCTGGCCCACAGGCCCTATTTTGCCTGCCCCTCATTTAGTGGTTCAATGTTGAACTCCCTTTAAAAAAAAAACTACTGCAATTAATCAAACTTGAATGCAGCACTGCTTTCTTTCAATGGCTAGGCTATTAGACAAAGGTTAGATGGAGCACGACATTGGCTTTCAACTCTCAATAAACTTAGGGAAAAAAATAAAGATTCTCAGGGTCTTGTGCATTTCACCTCTACTTCAACTGCAGAATGCAAAGTAGGCCTAATTTTCCTGTTGAACCTTACAAAGATGCTGTTCAAAGGCCATTGCCACATTGAAAATATTTAGGCAGTGACAAAGTGGTGAAATAGGATCAATATTGGCATTGTAATTTCTTGGGAGCGAGGAGAAAAAAACAGACATTTGTCTTTAATTTCCAACAGTTGCATAGAGTTGGTCCAAGTCCTGCGCGCTCAGCACAGACCTGTCATGGAAATTTATAAAATAATAACTTAAGAGCATTAAGAACTGCAAAGTGCCACACACACGTAATTCCTGACCTTGAAAAGGAACATTCATCTCTTCCAAGAATGAAATATCACTTTTTAAGGCATGTCATGTGGACTCAAAAAAGCCATTAGGTGTACAAAAAAGGTTACCCAAACCACCGCACAGCTTCCATGCAGACACCATTAATACTAAGAGCATCTTGGGGACACAGGAGTTGGGGTTTTATCAAAGCCATTGCAACTTCAGCTGCAAACAACAGGAGAAGCAGGTGTTCAGTATCTTTGAAAATGGGGCCTACCAAGGATGTAAAACCCACATGTAGCCTCACTGCAGCGAAGAGCTGGTATTTCTAGAAAGGGGTGGTTTTCCACAATTTCCCTGGGATTTTGCACACAAAATCTCCGGATTTAGCAACCGCAGCTGCTAACTGCCCACTTCTCATGGTCTCTCCTGAAATATTTAAGTGACTTTATCCGGGATATTTTGTTGAAGCAGGACAACTTACTACACCAGCCTGGCGCTTATGGACTAAGCAACAGGCCAAGCGCCAGGAACCCTTGAATCACAGGGCTGGCTCTGCCCAACTGACTTGCAATGTGGCACGTAAAGGATCAAGCTCTCTGCCTTTCAGCTTCCCCGCTTTTGTGAGCTGGGGTGTGGAAATCTTGACCTTAGCCAAAGCCTGAGCTCCGTGTTCAGCAGCAGGCCAAGCAACAGTGCTGCCTCCTTCCACACGCATGTTCTGAGAAATGAAGAGAAGGCGCTTTGGGGCCTTGTACTTGAAACTGGCTGCTCTGCCTCAGGGTGGTCTTTTTAAGCTCTTTTGTTTCTGGTAACTGAGCAGCTACTGACGCATTTCGGTAGCTTTGTGCGTCTTCCTTCGTGTCTGAGGGCAACCGCCCCATCTGGACACTGCCCCTGTCACTGCCCTCCTGGGGCTGGGGCGAGGTCGGGGCTCCCGGCGGGTGCTCTGGAGACCGCTCAGCTGGGGACAGGGACTCCGCTTCTCCACTGACCGGCAGGCGGCGGTGACAGTGTCGCCGGCCTCCGGCCCCAGGAAGCAGGCCTTGAACTGCTGCTGGCCTCACCGCCCCAGCGCCCGGGCCCGAGGGAGCTCAGCGCGATGCCGCAGCCGTGAGCGGGTCCCGCCGCCCACCCCTCCTCGCGCCGGGGGTCGCCGCACCCCCCCACCCGAGCACAATACAGGACCCAGTTCCTGTATTTTGGAGCTGGAGCCAATCAGGAGCCGCCTTGCATTCCCCGACACGCCACGGCGGCTTGTGACGCGCTGCGCCATTCGCCGGCGCTCCAGCCCCTCGTACGTGCCCTCAGATAACCCTCCCCGGCTGCTCCACAATAGGCGCCTTCAGCCGCCCGCAGTGCAAGCACCCCCGGCCCTAGCCCCGGCCCCC